TGTAGTGTCTTTCCTTGCTTATACCATTTGCCCTTCCTTCTTGTCTACGTACTGGAGGCATTGGTCTTTGGTCTATTCGCCATGAGTTCTGACCATCCCATCCTTCTGTTCCTCACCTGTCCCAGTTCTTTGCCTGGTTGTTTGATCAGGATCTGTCTGTTTCAACTGTTGCTTTTTAAAGGGCTGCCCTATCAAACACTTTCCTTTCTTCCACTTCTGGTTAAGCCTTCTCTTCCCCAGTTCTTTCCCTTCTTTTTCACTCCTTTTGTCTGATCTAACCACCACATCCCTTTGTTCTGCCAGATTGTGTTTCATTGTTGTCCTTCATACCCTGTCCAGTTCTCCCTTTGAACCCATTGCAATTTTTTCGTTGTACAGTCTTTCCCTTAAGACCTATTTCCTCCCCCTGCTGGTATGAGTTTGCTGTTGTTCCGATATTTATGCCATTGATATTTCCCACATCCTTTACCATTCCTTGTATGTTATCCTCAGTCCAGATCATGCCTTCCTCTTCAGGACATTGGCTGCCTATGAAGGTTGTTTAGCATTTTCTCCTATTTCCTTACCTTCCATTTCCCATTTGATCCGGATTGACTACTTTGTCAAGTTCATTCCCTGCTATGTTATATGGCCTGTACTGCCTCCTTTCGTGGTTCTCGTTCCTCTCTAGTTGTTCCATAGAATTTGTCTGTTTCCCATGATCTATCATCTATTATTCTCACTGGTTGAGTTCGTCAACTCGTAAGACTGGCATATTCTGATGTGTCAATAGATGGTGGCCATCTACATGATGTTTTTTTGTACCACATTCATCATCTAACTATGTCTTTAGCTGCTCAAAACCACCATCCTTTGGAGGAGATCATTCAGGCTGGTATATGGGACAACTCCCAATACATTTGTTGCACTTTATCTGCACAAGTTAGCTGTGTCTTCCTCAAGCAGGTATCATCTTCCTCCTGTAGTATTTCCACACACATCTGTTTGCCTTGGACTGGGATAAGTCAACATATTATTTTTTTTATCATATTTCGTTAATATACCTCATATTTCAGGATCCCACCTGGTGGCAGGAGTTGCCTGGTCAGGTATGCTTATTATTATATTAGCATTAATTCTATATACTTTTATAATGCTCACTGTTGAGATGGTGTGTTCTTGTAAGACCACCAGCCTCTTATCCGGTAATGTGAGTGTGTCTGTTTCATATATAAAGGACTGTCAATCATGGACTTCGTGAGTAAAGTAGATGGGGGATTTTGCCCATACCTCCAGACCCATGATTCTTACAATCGGGGTCTTTTTCTTTTCAAAATAGAGAATCTCAGACACCCATTGCACTGTCTCCAGCGTGTCATTCCTCAGGACTCCCCAAGGTGTATCCCCCCATTTTTTTCCTAGTGGAGCATGGGAGTCCTTACCACTTCCAGTTCTCAGTCACTGGAGTGGTGGAACATATTGGTTTCCTCCTGAGTCGGGTACTTCACCCGGATGTTTTTGCCTTGGCTCACCACACTTGTTGATCACAAAATAGATTTGTTATGCAAGACGCTTCCCCTGGATATTTCTTACCCAGGTGGACCACACTTGTTGATCTTACAAACTTATGCAAAGTGCTTCCACTGGATCTTTTTGCCCAGGCAGACTGCACTTGGCCTATTCTTATACAACTTATGGTTCTTTAGCCCTAGCCACATATATTACATTAGCAGGCACCTTACTGTGACTAACTGTCACTATGGCCTATGCTAGCTACATATGTGGACGAATTATGCACTGTCTGTTGACAACAGGGTGATTCTGAATTACCTTACAATTTTTCATCAAACTACTTATTCAAGGTGCTTCCCCTGGATTATTATTATTTTTTTTTGATGGGGAAGATCGCTCTTGTTACTCACAATATCCTAGACAAGGTGTTTCTACTGGATGTTTTGCCCAGTTGGACAGCAGTTGACATGCTCTGGTGTGCCCCAAGATTCTACCATTGTCACATATTTATTTGGGCCTATTGTCGATTCCACACCAAACATTTCATTTTTGCCTATGCTATTCTGTTTCACTTCATAGTTATACAGCACTTCTCCACAGAATGGTGCTGTACATCTCTTTCTTAAGGCTATGGTGCCTACCTATTACATTCCACCCTATATGTATTACAGTGTTTAATACTGGGCAAAGAGCATACCTATTCCAGAAGTAGTGCTATACCCCAC